CTACTGTGAAGTCAACATGGATAAGCAAGAAATATGCTGAGACTTTGAAGTCCAATCCCCAGTGGCCAATCAGGTCATTCAAGCAGACTGTTGAGCAGGATTATAATACATCGGTGTCAAGACAACAAGTGTATAGGGCAAAGGATAAGGCACTAAAGCTGATTGAGGGCAGTTTCAATGAACAATATTCAAGAATTTGGGATTATTGTGAGGAATTAAAGAAGAGTAACCCAGGAACCACAGCAATGGTTAAGTGTGATTTCCAACAACAGTTGGGACAACCTTTGTTTCAAAGGTTGTATGTTTGTTTAGGAGCTGCTAAGGAAGGATTCAAATCTGGGTGCAGGCCTATTATTGGTTTAGATGGGTGCTTTTTGAAGAGTGTTTATGCAGGGCAACTGTTAACTGCTGTGGATATAGACGCCAACAATGAAACCTGGGTGATTGCTTATGCAGTTGTGGAATCAGAGTGCAAGGAATCTTGGATTTGGTTTCTGGAGCTATTGGTGAAGGATTGTCAAATTGTAAATCAATTTGGCTTCACCTTTATATCCAACAAACAAAAAGGTTTACTGCCTGCTTTTGAGCAAGTGGCCCCTAATTGTTACCACAGGTACTGTGCAAGACACTTGTTTTCCAACTATAGGCTATTATTCAAAGCAAAAAGCTTGAGAGACAAGTTTTGGGAAGCATCATATACAACCACTGTCCCCCACTTTACAAAGGCCATGGAAGACCTGAAAAACCTGTCCAAGGATGCATATGATTGGCTAACCACTCCAGATAAACCTCCAAGGCATTGGTCCAAGTCACACTTCAACACTCATTTGAAGTGTGACATGTTGTTGAATAATCTGTGCGAGTCTTTCAATGCTACCATATTGGAATGTAGGGATAGACCAATTCTGTCAATGTTTGAGTATATTAGATGTAAGCTGATGAGGAGAATACAAGGAAGAAGGGAAAAAATGCTGAAATGGAACAAGCCTATCTGCCCAAGAATATTTAAGAAGGTGGAGGGAAATAAAGCCAAGGCAAGTGCTTGTGTGGCAATGTGGTCAGGTGGAGGTAAATTCCAAGTGGCAGCTAGTGGCCATGCACGATATATTGTGGACTTGGATTTGAGGACATGTTCATGCAAAGCTTGGGATTTGCAGGGATGGCCTTGTGTTCATGCTATTGCAGCCATAAATTATAAAGGGGGTGTTAATGTCATGGATTTTGTGGAGGACTGCTATTTCACATCAACTTAGTTGAAGACATATGATAATCTCATACTGCCTATGAATGGGATGGATATGTGGGATAAGAGTGCCTTTCCGCCATGTCTTCCTCCGTCTTACTCTAAACAGCCTGGAAGGCCAAGAAAATATAGACACAAGGAAGAGGGAGAGCACAAGAGGAAAATGAAGATGAGAGCGTCAAGCAACCAAGCTGAAACTTCATTGTCTCGCATTCCCAACACACAGGACTCTGTCAAATGTGGCCAATGTGGTAAAAATGGACACAATAAGAGGACTTGTCATAGGAATCTTCCTCCCAAACCCAAACCTGCAACTAAGAGGAAGAGGGGTACTGAAAATACCCAGGTATAGTAACTTCATCTTGTTCAATTTTATACTGACACTAACCCTAAGCTTTTGTTGCTAACTAACAAGCATTTTTTTGTTGTAGAGCACTATTGATCCATCTGCCGCATCCACTCCAGCTGCTGGTCCAAGCACCCTAAAGCAAAGATCCAAGCCTCCTAGGCGTGTGCAAAAAGGGAAGCCTCTGGTAAGTAACTTGTCTTTATAATGGTTATTATCAATTTTCGTAAATATCCAAATAAAAGGTTAACATCCTAAACATTTTGTAGCCAAAACCAAGTAAGAAAGGACGTGCCACTTCTGAAGCAAAACCGGCCTCAACTTCATGTCCTTGTCCATCAACTTCTATTTCAACTGCAGGATCAAATGTTGTAGATTGAAGCTTTTTGTTAGACTGGCAGTTTGTGATTAGGAGCTTTTTGTTTTTGATAAATTGGTCCTGTGTAACTTAAGTACTGACTTTTTTTTTTATGGATGTAATGGCATTCACATAAGCCTCAACCATTGTGAATGCAAATACATCCACTGAAACTGCCATTTTGGAATCATATTGAATGGACATGAAATATGTACGATATGCAATGTTATTATTTGGCTATTTTGAGCCCAATTTGAATGCATAATTTTCTGAGTTTTTGGGTTGGCATTGTACTTCGTTAGTTTGGCCATTCACTTTATTGTTCTAGGTCCATTCTTTTTCTAACTTCCCTGCTACTTTGTTTTTGCCATTCTTTTGCATAAGGTGACTTCTCTGCTACATTGTTTTTGCCATATCTGGCTATAAGGTCCATTCTAACTTCTCTTTACATTTTTGGCATTCCTTTGCATTATTTCACTACCACACATATTTAGATGGCCAATCACTTCATTTGCATACTCTTTATGATGGCCATTCACTTCTTTTAAATGTAATTCTGTACAAAATTTGCCATTCCATTCACTTCCTCAAGTTACATGGCAGTTTGTGATTAAGCCCTTAAGCTAAACCCCATAACCCTTAACCCTAAAACCCTAAACACGTACATAACAATTAAACCATTACAAAATGCTACTAACAACCCAAGACTAACAAACTTACAGAATCACGGAATCACAAACATAACCCACAAACAATTCATTAAATGGCAGAAGCTAATTCCAAGCTCCTCTTTTTGTTCACTCCACATCCACACATCCCTCCCAAAATGATGCTTGCAAATAGAACCCACGAAGCCACCAAAAACACCCAAACAACCTTTTCTCTTTGTCTTGCCTTTGCCACTGATTTCTCCAGCCTATTTCGCGATTTTAGAAGCCCAGGAATCACTACCTTTGACCGTTCACACATGGCCGGATCAAACCATGCCCATAATTGACAACCCTTCAAACCCTCGTTAGTCTCACGTACCTTTGCTGCACACATGGAAAATCGCCTCCCAGGATTCGAATCTGTCCACGACGTTCGAATTGTAGCAGCCTTTCCGCACCAACACATCGGCACCTCTTCATCCATTCCGGCCAGCCAATCGAATCTTCTTCGTCAGTTTCCTCTCAACTTTTTTCCTATCTTTTTGCAGTCAATTTCAAATATTTGCTCTCCAAAACACGAACAAACCCTCGTCTCTCTTCTATGTCTCTCTCAATACACGAACAAAACTCAGTTTTTGATTTCTTTGATTTTTCCAAGTCTGGGTAATCGAGGCATCGCCTTGGAATGCGTGCCATGGAGAGAGAAGGCGAACGTTGGTCTTTTTTTTTTGCCGAAATTGCCCTTCGTGTTGTCTCTGTCTAACTGCTATTTGGGTATGAGGTGGGTCCCACGCCTGCCACGTCAGCATTTAACGTCTGACTTTGACGATCAATGTAACGGCGGGTGTCAATTGGTTAGGATTCGAAATGTTGGGTAAGATATTGACTTAAATGAAATCTTAGGGCCCATTTCGATACTGGCACTAAACCTGTAGGGCAGGGACTAAAGTGTAGTTAATCCTTAAAGAAAACTTGGGGCCAAAATCTTCTCAAAGTTCCAATATAATTAAAAACAGGTTTTTGACAGATTGGACAATACAAGAAGATAGGCACATCAGAATTTTATGCCTTTAGGCTTAAAAATAGTAATCACATCAGAATCGTAGGATAGGATTTATACATGAAAAAGATTTATGCTTGTCCTCTACCTCATTTATATTAATTGTATTTTGATATCATCAGTGACATAAAACATAAGAGCAAAAGAATATTGAACTTTTGGGAATGTCCTTCAATGAGGGAAACCAACCCCCCCAAAAAACAAAAAAAATAATATTTCGAGAAACATTATGAAATTCTTTGGTGAACTCTCATGAATTAAACAAATCCAACAGTTCTACGTTTAATTAATTATTGCCCTTTGTTCCCTAGAGATGGACAATTTGATAATGTAAACAAATGCTTCAAGCATTTCCTATGCAACTATATATATATAACAGAAGTTTGTGCTTTAAATTAGGCACCTTCTCTGTAATTAACGAGAAATTATACAATAGTGCTGGAGTCCGGTCACGTAATAATGGTGGAACTACATATAGGCTACCCTCGACTATAGCCCAATGCAACCTTGGTCAAAAATATTTTTTATAGCACGTAAATTCAAGATTCTGACATTTAGCCCACCCCAGCCAACTCCCATATGTGCAAATTCTTCACTTTTATGGCTGGGTAGTTAAGAAAAGTCGTACTTTTCTAGTTTTATATCATGTTAAATGAATCATTCAAGTTCAAGAGAATTAAAATTTAGTTGTTCTTGGTTTGACTTAATTTTGTTTTATCGTTTAACGAAATATTAGCCACCCTTTGGAAAAAATTTAGTTCCACTCTTGCACGTAATATAGCTCATATAAGTATTATAATATGGATGGACTAAGTTGATATTTTTCCATTTTAAGTACTATGTGATCATACTACCGTACTACACTATAAGATAGAGAATTATCATTCTTGCACCAAAAAGAATAAAAATAGGGATTTGTTATAACCCAAGGACTTAAAAGAATTTCATTTTACTTTTACTAAAATTCATGAGTTTATAATTGAAGCTTTGAGCGGTGGTGCAAGAACGCAGCCCAAGAGAGGGATAAACGCACGAGAAGATGGAACAGAGGGATCAAAAGTGAGCAGTGGGCAACAAGAGAAAAACACAAACAAAATAGAAAGTGGGAGAAATTGACAAAATAAACAGAACAAGGTGGTGGGGTCCACATCCACCCTCTCCATCTTTGGTCCTGGTTGGGGCTCATTTTATTGCTATCAATATATTTAGCAAGTAGTTGTTAAGTTGTGCCCACTCAGAGGGTTGAACATTATTGCAAGTGGGCCTCATTAGTGGGAATATCTCTTCAACCACACAATTTGCATTGTGGTTGTCCTTTGCCGACTTTTCAATTTGTACTGATGTTTGCGTCCTTTTCAAGCATCATTGCTCTTATATATGTAAATACATGTGAGCAACGGCACATACACAAAGCAACATGCTAGTGCAAGCTTATAACATAATGGCTCATGCCTTCCTTCTCTTCCTCTTATTCTCTTGCATTATATCTACAAATATCCATGCCTGCAAACAAACTGAACACAGCTCCCTCCTGTCCTTTGCCTCCACTCTATCTTCTCCTCCTTTAAATTGGACATCCCTTGATTGTTGTCGTTGGAAGAGCATCACTTGTGATCAAGATGGTTGGGTCACCCGTTTGCTCTTGCCTTCCAAAGGGCTCAAAGGAGGTATCTCTCCCTCTTCACTTAGAAATCTCACACATCTCACCCACTTGAACCTTTCCCACAATTCACTATATGGTTCACTTGAAACTCAGTTCTTCTTGTCTTTGAATCGACTTGAGATCCTTGATTTGAGCTATAACCTTCTTTCTGGAGAGCTACCAATTTCTCTACCATCCAGCAGTATCCGGACAATTGATTTGTCCAGCAATTGTTTCTATGGTGCAATTCCATCTTCATTCTTCCAACAAGCAAGCAACTTAACTAGTTTCAATGTCAGCAACAATAGCTTCACAGGGTATGTCCCATCCTCTATTTGTCACCAACATTCTTCTCCCTTCGTTAGGCTATTGGATTTTTCTTCCAATGTATTCAGTGGCAACCTCGCTCCTGGGCTAGGAAAGTGTTCCAAACTGCAGGTTTTTCGTGCCGGTCACAATAACCTCTCGGGATTATTTCCAGAAGATATCTATAATGCCACCAAACTTGAAGAAATTGCATTACCTCTCAATTCACTACATGGAGCAATTAGTGATAGAATTGCCAACCTCACTAACCTTGCAATCCTTGACCTCTACTTTAATCAATTGAATGGCGAGCTTCCTCTCAATTTGGAGAAGCTCTCCAAGTTGAAGTTTGTGACCTTTGATTTCAACAATTTAGAAGGTGCTTTGCCCCCATCTTTGATGAATTGCACAAACCTTGTAGAATTGCGTTTCGGAAACAACAACTTGGAAGGAGATATCTCCATGCTTGATTTCTCAAGATTGAGTCAACTTACTAAATTTGAGCTAAGGATGAATAACTTCACTGGTACGGTTCCAGTAAGCCTTTACTCATGTAGGTCCCTAAAAGCCATTGGATTGAGTGGAAATCATTTAGAAGGACAAATACAACCCGAGATTCTTTCATTGAAATCCTTGTCCTTCCTCTCT